GTGACAAGGCCTAGAGAACTATGAAAGAAGTGAGCAGAAGTAAAGCGGTAGCAAGGAGAGCAGACTGGGTAGACGCAGAAGCGGAGTTTTCTATGGCTTTCTTTATGTTCGCCCAAACATCCTCACTGCGAAGAAGGCACCGCATAGGAAAAACGACGAAGAAACATCACAAGAGCCAAATCATCTCACGCTTCGGCATGAACGTCAGATATTGCCAAACTCTGGAGCCGTATACAACGAACAAAGAAGGTCATACCCACACGTAGGACAAAGAAATCGGCCTAACATTGGCTAGAAGGAAACATGTTCGTGCATGGCGAAAAGAAAACAAGTGGTCAATGCTAAAATGGCAGGTGTTGAATACCGCTGGAAACAACCGGCGAAAACAACGTGAAATAGACGGCACTAAGCAGTACCTTGGAGACACAAGGGGCACAGGCGGACGACAAATGAAAGTGCGCCAACAAGACGAGCACAAATACACAGCGATGGAACCACAGTAGCTGACTAATATATGCAAGGCCCCAAAAGAAAACACGCTCAATACAGTTCGGATGCGACTGAACCACACGAAGGACGTGCACACAGCAGAAGGGAGCTGATGGGAAAGCGTGCGCCAAGGAAGGCAAACACCACAGTAGGAGGAGGTACAGCCAAGAGGAGAGGAGGGCGGTATATTCTCAACAACGTACGTGAAGGGTTTTTTTCCCTGAGCAAGAGCCGCAGGATTGGTGAGGCAGACGAGTCCGGTAACCGTCTCCGACGGTGTGGACAGGTGCCGAACGGATGGGCCGGTCCTCTGAGGGTCTCCCAACTGTTCGTCACGGGAAAGAGGGGAGGATATGGGTGCGGCTGCTGACGCCGGAGCCTGGACATGCGTGCTCGCTGAACCCCCAGCTTTTGGTTCAGCGCGAAAAGAACCAGCTCCGCCACCACCTTGGCCGGCCTGTGTGGTTGTCTCCTCTGTAGCTTCGGTGCTGCTTGCAGCTGTAGTGCTAACACTGGTGGTGATGGGGGCGGCTGTGGTGGTCGCGGTCGAGATAGGGCAAGTGATGTAGGCGCAGTCAACTGTGGCTCCGCCCTGGGGGTTGTACAAGGCCACAAGCGAGATGTTCTGGCCATCCGCATACACACTCGTTTCTTTCTCGTATTGGGGCGGGAGTTCCCCAAAGTTTACGTGGGCTTTTTTCCAATAGGTGACGGCTGCAGAGCAGCCGTCGGTAGGGCCTGTCTCAGGCGCGTAGGCATAGGTGCCCTCGCGCTTGATATTATTCTCCGTAATGTCAATCACTTTTCCCTGAACGCGAACAAGAGCAAGCCAATGTGTTCAGGTCAATGCAGCCCGCAACGGCTGGCGAACATAAACGCATATGTGCAGACAACCACACCGAGAGCGTTTACGGTAGGTAGCGCAAATGCAGGCCGCTTGCCTCCTGTATGGCAGAGCAAATCTTTTCTATGTAGCTTGCTTCCCCTATTGGCAGTTTCTTCCCTTCCTCCTTCTCCTCAGTGAAGGCTTCGAGACCTGCTCGTTCTCGAGCAGTATTGAAGTCGGCCAGGCAGTCGACGGGCGCTGCACAGGAGCAAAACCAGGCCAGCCATCCCAAGCATCTCTGAAATCTTTCTCCAGACAACTCAACATGAGATTATTCTGTTGTATTTTTTCTTCCACTCACCTGCCGACCCTTTTTGATTCGAGTTGCCACTCTCCGCTCCGTGGGCCGCCCCCAGCACGGCGGCGACCACCAGAACTGAACTGAGCTTTCTCATGGTTTTCGGCACAGATTCAGCAATTAAACCACAATGCCGCAAGATCCCAAACAAGTGTAGCTTGTTGTAGCTTGTGGCTGCACTGCAAGGCCGCTTGTCTCCTGACTCGCTACATGACTGTCCATGCGGTGTAGGCAGCGCCTCAGCAGCGAGGAGCCGGAGACAGGGTCATTTGCTTTCGGCATGTGACCCTTCTATTCTTCAATCCTAAATTGATTTCACCCTAGCTAAAATAAACAATTTGTTCTTCAGATGAAATGAAGTAAATTGTTCTGATACTTTACGGTGGTGCGTCCATTTCCCGTGCGGGAGCGGAAATTTGCTCGTTTCACCTAAATTGCACGAGTTCCGTTTCATCTGAAGTGAAACATATTAGCAAATGTTGCTAGCGGAGCAGTGTTTGGTTGCAAGCCCCCCTCTTCTCTGCTAGAGAGGTAAAAGTGGTGACGAGCCTGAGGTTTTGATGCGCCAGTTTGGCCACGGCAAATTCTCTTTTCTGCCCGAGCACTTTCACACCGGGCAGTTGACCATTTGGCAGTAATTTCAGGTGTCCAGTCGCCTGACGGAGCCGTTTGCACAGTAAAAGTAACGAAACACCCCGCAGATCTCATTCATTTTACTTTAGAGCACACCTTCGATTGCGTCTGCGCTTGCAATCTCCCGAGCGAAGGTAGAGCATTCCTATGAGAACGCAACCGGTTGCTTTGGGACCTGGCTAAATCACATGGCCCGCTGCTGCTGCAGGTAGACAGAAGAGATGGAAAACTCTAGGGGAGCCAGATATGCTATGGAGAACTCCGAGCGATCCCCTCTGTGCACCTATTTGTCTCTTTCATTCTAGGGCGACCTCGTAAGCTTGAGGACATCTATTTGAAACGGTTCAACAGTCTAAAGAGAGGGCCAAGCAAAAGCAAAAGCAGCTGCAGTGGCTGCGAGCCAAAATTCAGATCGCTAAGAGACGCTTGGTTCTCCTTTGTCTCCCTTCTCGAATTTACGGGTTCAAAGAAACATATCCTCACTGCGGCTCCTTGTTGTGCAGGCACTGCGGAAACTGCGTTTCCCCTATCGTGCCCCTCACAGCTAAGGTTTGCAAACGCCGTAAGGGGCTTCCCTTGTTGACGACGCCTACAGAACTATGAAAGAAGTGAGCAGAAGTAAAGCGGCAGCAAGGAGAGCAGACTGAGTAGAGGCAGAAGCAGCGTTTTCTATGGCTTCCTTTATGTTCGCCCAAACA